GGTCATGGGACTATACTGCCCCTTCCCCTAGGTATGATGGGACATACTTGAACTGCATCACTCTCCGTCAAATACCATCTACTCTGCTACATGCACATGCTTTATCCCAGTTCAGCAAAGTATATACTTTAAGCATTGCAGTAATACCATCCCTATTCAGGAAATCACTTAATAATTTGTCCAGCTGGGATAAGAATTACACTGGTGCCTAAATTTAAGTACATGCATAACTATGGTGCTGAATTGGCATCCAACTCCCTTTGGTTTTGGTGTTCATTAGCTTGGCTGCTTCTTATTTCCACCACTTGCTTTATTAACCAGACTACTCTCTTTGGTATGGAATTTCTCAGAGTCCAGTATTTGGTTAATGTAGCTTAATTTTTAAGACGTTATAGTCTTACTATGGAAGAAAAATATAACAACTAGCTAAGGGGTTGGAGAGAGACACAGCTGTTATTGTTCGAAACATTTCTCAGGCCTTAATGTTTGATATAAAATCTCATGAGAAACTGAGGCTGTCTACGCTGCCAGTTTCAGTGCTAAAATTTTAATCATTCAGGAGTGTGAAGAAACACACCCTGAGCCATAAAGCTTTAGCACTGGAAAGTGCCAGTGTAGACATTTTATCACCAGGCACTGTTGAGGGTAGTGGGGGGAGACGATAGCCGCACTGGGCCCCTGGGCAAGGTGTGTGTGATTACACACTCCTAGAAAGGGTGGGGCCAGGAGCAGCCAGCACTCAGTGCTGCCCAGAGCATGCTGTGCAGTACTCCGGTGGTGACTGAAAGGGCCTTGGTCTCCAGGAGCTGTTGCTGTCACAGTAGTGATGGCAGAGGCCAGGCAGGCCCTTTATAGTCACCAAACCCAGAGAAGTTGCCCCCTTTGCCGCCTTGTGCTGGCAGGCTTGGGGATAGAGGTTTGTTTATCTCCTGATGATGGTGTGACTACATTTCTCACATCACAGCAATGTGATGGCACTGCTGTAACATGGGCAGTGTACATAAAAGTGGGAAATAGCTCGCACTTCAGCATACCACTAGAAAATAAATGTCTTGTGGAGGCAGGAAAAGGGAATAAGAGAATTTGTGTGCAGCCATCTTGGTCTTGTTAACAAGAGAGCAAGAGTCAGGCTAAGTCTGTGGCCTGACAACGCGAGATCTGTAATTAGATGCTGCCTTCGCCTCTCGCCTCCATACGGAGATAAGGATAGAATGCTGACTCTGGTAGGGACCTTGAGATAAGGAGCATCTGGGTGGAACTAAATAACTGTTAGCCATTGGTGTTTGTAATGGGAAGGAGACTAATTGCTATTGTTATTATATCTAATAGACAGTATATAAACTGCTTCATAATTGCTTGTATTCGAAGATCTGCCTCGGTGAGGCGGGGGGCTCCCCCCCCCCGTCTGAACCAGTTTTTCCCTTGCTGCAGCTCGTAATAAAACTGCCTCTGGCTACTTGTTGCTTACAAACTCAGAGTGAGGACAACGTTTTCTTCCACAGTCTTGATATTAGAGTCTGAGTTCAAAGAGGCTCTAAAACTTCAGAGGGTATTACTGCACAAATTTCTTTAGCCTATGGACTGAGGGGATTCCATACAGCAAAATTCCCTTAAATGGGAATTTCAGTTAAAATCAACATTCTTGCTAGTCTCTTGCTTTATGGTATGTTTTGATTGGTGGCAATTTCATATTTTGGAATATAGCCAAACTATCATTTCAGTTATTGGACTGTAGTTTTTAATGTTTTTTTTTTCCGGTCAGTTAAATCCAACTCGGCTCACTTGGGCAGCCATATTTTTCATCCCTTGCCAGCTATTACTTTGGTTGGATAATTGAAAGTGTCTCAGCGTCAGAGAACTCAGCTCAAATTTCTTTATTGTTCAAGCAACTTTCTCTCTCTAGTTCTCAATTCTTTAAAGATAATTTAATTGAATTTATTAACACTTTTCTGCTTTGTTTTTTATTTTTAAAAGACTTGTGTTTGGTGTTACTTTTTTTCCTTCGTAAGCTGAATTGTGGTCTTTCATGAATTAGGTTACTGTTTGACTCCTAACAAGAAGAGTTTATATTTCCTGAGTTCCTACTGTACCAAATTCATTCCTGGTGCACATGATTAATTTGACCCCAAACTTGTTTTTATTGTTTTACAATATTGTTGTTGAAAAGAGATCTCTATAAACCAGAAAGCTTTACTAATATCTGACCTAAAAAAATATCCTGAAAACAGTATATTTTGTGCTTTAGGTAAATTGAGTAAAGCATCTCTCAGGTTAAATTTTCAGAGGGTATGTCTACACTACAAAGTTAATTCAAACTAACAGCTGTTAGTTCGCATTAACTTTCATAGCGTCTATACGTGCAAACTGCTAGTTGGAACTTGATTGGAACTAGCGGAGCACTTAATTTGAACTAGGTAAACCTCATTCTACGAGGACTAACACCTAGTTGAAATTAAGTAGTTCGAATTACGGGCTGTGTAGCCACCTAATTCAATCTAGTTGGAGGCTAGCCCTTCCCAGGTTGCCCTGATGGCCACTCTGGGACAAACCAGGGAAACTTTTCTGCCCCTCTCCCAGCCCTGGAGCCCTTAAAGGGGCATGGTCTGGCTACAGTGCCCGTGCCAGTTGCAAGCCTGCCAGCATCCAGCCAGCAGACCCTGCACCTGGCACGGCATGAGCCAGCCACCCGCTGCCACCCAGCCCTCCGCCTCTTCCCAGGACTCCCAGGAGCTGCCCGGGCCTGCAAGAGGTAGATGCCCGCCTGGTCTAGTGCGGAGATCGTGGACCTCATCAAGGTTTGGGGGGAGGCCTCCAACGTCCACGACCTCTGCGCTAGGCACAGTAATGTGGCCGTCTAGGGCAGGATAGCTGCCAGCCTGGTCACCAAAGGCCACATGCGAACCCAGGAGCAGGTTTACATGAAAATCAAGGTGGTCCAGTGAGACCCCCAGCCCTGAGCTCAGAACATAAGAATGGCCGTACTGGGTCACACCAAAGGTCCATCTAGCACCGTAGCCTGTCTGCTGACAGCGACCAACACCAGGTATCCCGGAGGGGATGGACCGAAGACAATGATGAAGTGATTTGTCTCGTGCCATTCATCTCCAGCCTTCCACAAACAGAGGCCAGGGACACCATTCCTACTCCCTGGCTAATAGCACTCCATGGACTCAACCTCCATGAATTTATCTAACTTCTCTTTAAACTCTGTTCTAGTTCTAGCCTTCACAGCCTCCTGTGGCAAGGAGTTCCACAGGTTGACTCTTTGCTTTGTGAAGAAGAACTTTCTGTTATTAGTTTGAAGCCTGCTACCCATTCATTTCATTTGGTGTCCTCTAGTCCTTCTATTATGGGAACTAACGAAGAACTTTTCTTTATGCACCCTCTCCACACCACTCATGATTTTATAGACCTCTATGCTAGCCCCCCTCAGTCTCCCCTTTTCTAAGCTGAAAAGTCCCAGTCTCTTTAACCTCTCTTCATATGGGACCTGTTCCAAACCCCTAATCATTGTAGTTGCCCTTTTCTGAACCCTTTCCAAGGCCAAAATATGTTCTTTGAGGTGAGGAGACCACATCTGTACACAGTACTGAAGATATGGTGTACCATAGTTTTATACTTCCCCTCCTCCTCCTTCCCCTGGCTTCCCCCTTCCAGCTCCCTCCTCCCAGGTTTCCTCCTCCCTTCTTCCACCCTCTCTCTTCCCCTTTCCCTCCTCCTTTTCCCAGTCTCCCTAGAGGTTAATCCCTCCCGCCCCCAGTTTTGTTAAATAAAAAGAGTTTCTATTTTTGAACACGTGTCCTTTATTTTGTACATCAGGAAGGGGGGCTAGGGAGGGGTAAGTGGAAGGAGGTGAGGGAGGAATGGGGCACGAGCCCCCGATGGGGAGGACAGGGGTGGCTCTGCGGGCTCCTTGGGGTGGAAGCTCTCCTGCAGGGCCTCCTGAATCCTGACAGCCCCCCGATTGACCCCTCCGCCCCGGATGGCAGCCTGCAGCAAGTGCAGCCGGGCTGATGGCTGAGTGCCGTGATGTGCCGAGTGCGGGCACTCCAAGTCAGGACTGCTTTGCTGTCCCTCATCGAGGTAGACAAGCAGGAGGGGAACCCTGAGAACTGTATGTCTGGGGTGGGAGTTGGGTCCCTTTAAGCACAGCCCTTGGCTAGCCTGAGGCAGCAGCTCCACGCTCTAAGTCCTAACCTGATGCCCTGCCGGCACTGGTTCCGGCCAGCCTTAACTTCGGTTCAGGGTCCACTCAATGTGGACATGCTATTTAAAATTAGCGAAACGCTAATTCGAATTAGTTTTTAGGTCTAGATGCACTAATTTGAATTAGCTTAGTTCCAATTAACGAATTCAAATTAAGTTAGTTCGAATTAGTGCTGTAGTGTAGACATACCCAGGGAAAAAAATCAAAAGAATTAAGCAGAGAACCTTTTTAAACTGGCAAATGTTAAAGGAAATCCCAAATCCTATATGTACACAATTTACAGCCACACTGACTGCAAGAATCTGCAAACAAAAATGAACCTCTAATGATCTCTCTTCCGCTTGGGGAGTGGGTGGGAGGAAGTGATATCTCTTTATATGCTATTTCAAGACATTTTTGCTGTTCTATCATTTTTCTAGTTCACTGCTTTCTAATCAGTCAAATTCTTAAATCCCTGATGCAGAGATATGCACAGGGCAGTGTTTTCTTGCATCTAGAGCTCAAAGGAATTTAAACAACCTTTTCCAAATGTGTTTGAATTTCATAACTGATTTCCTGTTTTTATAAATTCATTTTTCCCTCTGAGACACCTATACCAATTCAGCTGTGTTGATATGGCAAGTAATTCACCAACAGTAGCTAATTAATATGAGCTGGTCTTGTGCACTTCATACTCCATTCAAAAAAGATAAGCAGGAACCTTAGCATTACCTGCCTTCAAGTGCTAATTTCAGCTACAAAGACAACATCTCTGCAACAGAATTTTAAAGGTTCTCTGAAAGGCGCTTTGTACCTGTAAAATCCACTGATACTGCCAACATTTTAGAGATCCCAACTCTTGTTGAGGTATTAAAATGTATCCTTTTCAATGCACTGCATTTGGGTTTTCTTTAGAAATCTTCAGCCATCCTCTCTTCTGCATGTTCTTTTTGATGCAGGTTTTCACTTTATGGTCGATCTCTTAACACTGGGTTATAGGAAATACTGTGTGAACCCACATTTGTAAAAGCTGTAGAGGTAAAGAAATAGGACAAACATTAATCCCATGACATTAGTAGATTACATAGATAAATGAACAGGAAAATGCTCTGGACATTGAGCAATTAAAGGAAGGTAACAGAGGCATTCATACATTGCAGCACTAAGGAACCAAGGGCTAGAGCTGCAAAGAAATTTAGATGCTTATGAACTAGATGAAATGGAGAAGGCTGTCTTTTGCATAACAAACACAATAGCCTCTGGTGCCCGCCTAATCATAAGGAATTGGTGTAATGTTTCATGAACATAGACACAAAGATAAGAGGAGGAACAGTGTATAGAATTAAGTGTTCAGATAACTGAAAACAGCTTTCTTTTAAAAAATTTGAAACATCATCATAGTCATGAATGGAGATTTATAACAAATATGACCTGGATATAAGCTTTTCTACATTAGTAGCTTATTCTGAGAAAATAATTTCACTTTTCCCATCCTATCCTGTAGTACTCTATTGGGTATATGCATGACAATTCATTTTTTTATGTGAATTGCAAACATAGCTAGTGGCAATCTATAGCCAGATAATAATGCTGTCTGACTTAGAAAAGGAACATTTTTAAAGCTGTAAATAATTTTCTCTAAATGGAGAACAGCTGAAGGATGCCCATGTCAATGCATAATAACCTGATATGGCCTTTTTCTGTTAGTGTTATTGATTTACGAGTGTGTTATGATGATGTAATGTCTATGTAAAGATACAAGCCTAATACCTTTAGTTGTCAGTTCTATAAACCCTAGAAATGGTTCATCTCAAGCAGATGTCTCCTAGTATCTGTTTATACTGCATAATGACTTAAGCAAAATATTTCTTGTGATCATAAGTAACTCAGATATAAACTATTCTCTTATATGTAAGTTTTTACTGCAGTAATAGGAGCAATATCTGACCATCTTCCATTAGTGCATTTATTAATGACTAATATCCATTATGTGTGGCTTATTCTTTCTCTCATTTGCTCCCCACAGGGAGAATTGTGTATAGCAGCAATGGCCAACCCGCGGTTCGTTGTAGGTTTGAGTCCTTGTGAGCTCTGCCCCTTCCCTCCCACCCCCCATGAATGGCCAGCCTTTTATTATTCTTAATCACCTGCTTCCCTTTTTATAACAAACTTCCTGCCCCCAAAGGCAAAGCTGGAGGCAGCTTAAACTCTGTTGCAGTTAAGACCTGCCTCTGGAGTCAGGGAATGCAGCTTTAAGCAGTTCTCCAGTATGAAATCCAGGAGTTCCAGGAGAAGAGTGTCGCTGCCCCATCTCCAATAAATGGCACTCTTCTTGTGATTGATTATCCTTAGCTCCTGGGGGAGTTTGTTGAGCAGTTTTGAGTTGGATCCTTGGGCTCTTTTCTATTGAGTTTGACCTGTATGCTAGAAAATTCCATTGTGTCCAAGAAATGCAGATATTGACTGTTGAATATTTAGGATGACCAAAACCAAATGCAAATAGTTTTTAAAAGTTGTTGAATCATCTTCTTAACTTTATGTTCCTGACCAAGTAGGAACATCATACTCATTGAACATCAAAAAGGAAGAATGTCCCTGAACAGTGAGAAGACATGGCTTCTAGCCTGAAGAGTTTGCAATCCAAGCATCTGATCCAAAGGCCAGGGATGTCAATATGGGTACGTCTAGACTACATGCCTCTGGCGACAGAGGCATGTAGATTAGACTGCTCGGCATAGGAAAATGAAGCGGTGATTTAAATAATCGCCGCATCATTTAAATTGACATGGCTGCCACGCTGAGCTGATCAGCTGTTTGTCGGCTCAGCGCAGTAATCTGGACGCTCCGCGGTCGACATCAAAGGCATTTGTCGACCTCCCAGGTATGCCTCATCCCAGGATGAGTGTTCAGCTGTTCAGAAGGCAAGCCCAGGCCTCAGTCTTCTCTTCTCAAAAATAAGGGGAATGACTAAATTTTTTTATAAACTAGTAGGCTGTGTCTACATTGGCACCCTTTTCCGGAAAAGGGATGCTAATGAGACCAGTCGGAATTGCAAATTCCGCGGGGATTTAAATATCCCCCACGGCATTTGCATGAACATGGCTGCCGCTTTTTTCCGGCTCGGGGCTCACAATTTGTGGGTCACCAACTTCACCATTTAAGGGCATGTCTATAGTAGGAAATGCTTTCAAAATAACTGATTTCAAAATAATAAATCCTGAAATAACTATTTTGAAATAGCATGTCCATAGTATAGGGAAGCCTCAAAATTAGTCTTAGGCAGGCTCCCTTAATGTGGATACACTACCTCGACTTAGAGCCTCAAGAAGCACCGGGGAGTAATTACTTTGAATACATTCCATGAGGTTTAACTGGTAATTCGAAGTAAGGGGTTTATTTTGGAATCGCCCTTCTCTGTTGCATGTAGACGTGGGCAGTTATTCCGGGCTAGTCAATTTCCAAAATGGCCACCGGCCGGGAACATGCTAATGAAGCGTGGGATATTTAAATCCCGCACTTCATTTGCAATTTGTCACCCTCATTAGTCTCCCTAGTTGGAACTAGGGGGCTAGTGTAGACGGACCTTTACACTATTTCAAAATAAGCATTATTCCTCATGGAAAGCAGGATTTATTATTTCAAAATAATCAGCCCCTTATTTCGAAATAAGAGGTGTGGTAGTATGGACACTCCACTTCTTATTTCAAAATAAGGAGAGTTACTTTGAAATAACTCTCTAGTGTAGACCAGGGCTCACAGTTCCTGGGTCCAGAGGTCCCAAGGAAAATCAGGGCCCCATTTCTTGGGCAGGTCTGAGGCTCTATCAGTAGTCATACTATAAGCATTTTGATAGTTAAGACAGACCTCTCTAGGACAATGGTGAGAAAAGAGGAGTTGGCAGCATAGTCCACATAGCTACTCTCAGTTCACTGCTTTGCTGGTAGAAGCTGTGGGGAGTAGGGTGCAGCAACTGCTGCAACTTTAAACCTGCTGCTAGCCATATGACAAGAACTACGGGGCTTTTCTTCTGCTTGCTAGCTTACTGGAGCCACCGCAGAGCTTGATTTGCATCAGGCAGCTGCAGCTCCCAGCTCAGCTTTTTTGTAGAAGAAATTGGGAATTGATGATCCACACAGAGTCATACTAGCACAGAAGATTAGGACTGGAAGAGACCTCAGGAGGTCATCTAGTCTAACTCCCTATTCAAAGCAGAACCAATCCCAACTTAATCAACCCAGTCAATGCTTTGACAAGCCTGGCCCTTAAAAACCTCTAGGGATGGAGATTTCATCACTTCCCTAGGTAACCCATAATCCCAAAGAAGTAATTTCAGCAGCAAATCAGAAATGTGTGACCTTTCTTTGCTTGTTTTTTATTTGTCCAGTCTTTCTCACCCAATCAAACCATCATTTCCATTCAGGGTGAGCCGAACCCAAGCCATTGTCCAAACATTAGCCCTTAATACAAACCCCAGCAAAACCACACCAAAATGTCTCCCAAACCCTATACAGCTAGGAAATAAGGCACTAACTTGCTCAGTCAATTCTCAGTGCTCTCTACAGAGGCCAGCAGAGAATTGACTCCGTGTATGCTTCTGTCACTTGCAAATATTTTCAGAGAGTTCCTCAGACACCATCTCCTGTTTTGTGACCTCATACTGCAGGGCTTATGACCTCATACTGCAGGGCTTATATTTGCCTGTCTTTCAAGTACTTTAATTTTGACTCCCTTAGTGTGTATTTCTTATTCTTTCAATTGTATTTGTACTTTCAAGTACTTTAATTTTGACTTCCTTAGTGTGTATTTCTTATTCTTTCAATTCCTATCAAACTGACTGGTATTTCCACCACTTGCCATTTCTTGTCCTTTGATTATGAGGAAAGAAAATATAAATCCAGATTGATATGACACAAAAAATGATGGTGGTCTAAATGAGTCATTTTCCACAGACATGACAAAGCATGAAACACTCTGAATCAGACCAGAACCACCCACTTCTATTCATTACCTTAACTTCTCTACATTGAACAGTGGGAACTACTTATCCACCCACAAGCATAATCGATGAAAATCTTTCTGAAATGTTTGTTCTTTTCCCCTATAATATGTGACACTCAGTTCCCATTTAGTGTCAGCAACCAATTCAGACTTTTTTTAAAATTAAGCAATTTATGTTAAATGCTAAATATGTTAAATGATAATGGTCTGTCTTAGATCTATAATATTATGGAAATTCAGATTTGAATAAGTTTCCAATTTTAGAACATTGACTTTACATAATTGCATGTTATAGATTGGAATTTGGTTTTCAACCATGCATTTTATATTTTAGATGTTTTAAATTAGTCAATATCCTTGGTACTTGGTTATTATAAAAATGGCTTCAACCTTTTTAGGTACAGATAGAATGTAGCACCTCATTTTACTCCTTTTGGAGATTTTCCTAGATTTTTTTTAAATTTTCCCCCAATAAGTCACATCTGTAGTGATATAATTCTGATGAGTTTTCCTGCACTGGTGAACCTCTCATCAGGGGTGAAAACAAGCAATAGGAATGTAGAGAAGGCTGCTTTTTCAAACAAGTTGATGTCGTTGCAATAACACTAATTCCCTGTCAATAGTAGTTTCCATCACCACAGAGAAAAATGGCACAGAAAAACATTTATCAATTTTCATAGTGTAGATAAAGTCTTAGCAATGTTCTTCTAATGGTGAACTTTCACTTCTGATGGAGGAAGGCTGAGTACAACAGTACAAAGGATAAAATGCCATTTCAAGCACTAGTTTGTACTACTTCCAAATTGGAAAATAGGACTTATTGTGTATGCTTTAATATTTGGTAAATATTCCAACCGGCAAATTCCTTCATGGAAAGTCAGCATAAGACAGGATTCAAACACAGTCAAGATGAACTTTTTAAATATTAAAATGAATATTCATAGAAACTTCTTACACCATTTATCCAGCTCCAGGTCTTCTGTAGTTTGACTGCTATCTTCCAGTTCAGTTAAGAACCTAATTTAAAAGATGTTAATTGGAATTTCTTATATGTAACTGTTTTCCACTAGAACTAGATTATACGTTCCTAAATAATTACCGGTAGTAGCCTTGACATGTATCCGTTTCAACATGATTTTCACAATTTAAAATTGTACAATTTGGAGTAAGCTTCTGTGTTGAGCCTCTAGGGCTTCCAGGGTCTGCAAGATCATTGGTGACTTAAAGTCACCTTTGTGCCCTATGGTTACCACCTTTACATTTTTTGTCCAGCCTTGCTAGCTTTTTTTTATGGACTTTTATGACCAGTTGCCAGAAAAATTTAATCTGCTGGATTTTAATAATGTGGGTTTAAGATTTGTTTTATCACAATACACTTGAATATCTAATGTGAAAAGTTTCTGTGTCCTGCTAAAGATACTTTGATGTTCCCACATCTGCAGTTTAAGTATGAAAATCTTATCAATCTTATCTGTTTGAGTTACTGCAAGTGACTGTTGCACAGAAGGGAGATTGCCTTGTGGCTGAGGATATAGCAGGCTTGAGTCATGAATAGTCTTCCCTCTAAACTGAGCGCTTGGGCAGCCTCCCAGGAGAGAGTCAAATGCTGCTCAGTTGATTAGCAGAGCGCCCACAGCCGGCAGCAGCTAGTAGCATGTGTTTCAACTGGTGGCGTACATCTGCACATGCCTCAGTGCATATAAGAAAATGTATTCCACACATGAATGGAAAAAATCAAAGGAAATACTGCTCATGGAGAGTGATTGCTGGGGTTTTGTTGTTGTTTTAGTTTGTTTTTTTTGCTGTCTTTTGATCCTGAAAAGCTCCCTGTCATAACTTAGACAACCCATGTTCTGCTTATGGCAACCCCTTTGTGGGCTGACCAGAAGGATGTCATACCACCTACTGGTTTGCATCCGATTACCTGCACTGGTGTTTGCGAGGAGGTCCTTAGAGGTCAGTAGTGTGGCTGTCTTCTACAATGCTTGTTGTGAGAGTAATCTTCCCTCCTATAGCTAAGGGTCTTTGAGGAGCCCCTTTACACTGTTCAGGGCCAGAGTGGAGGTAGAGTTGCTAGGCATCCAGTTTTTGATCAGAACACCTGTCTCAAAAGGGACCTTTGTGGCTCCAATTGATATCACTGACTGGGTTATTAAAAGTCTTGTTGGTGGCACAAAGGGGGACCCAGGCTTGTGTAGCCTCCCAGAAATGGCCACCCTAGGTACAGGAAGGCTCTGTGAACTGCCCCTGCCTCAAATACTGGCTCCCCAGTTTCCATTAGTAGGGAATCATGACCAATGGGAGCTGCAGGGGCAGTGCCTGTGAGTGCAAGGGCAGTGCATGGAGCCTCCCTGGCTGCACATTTGCCTAGGGCCCCTCAGAAACCTGGTGGTGTCTTCCTGGGAGCTGTAGTAAGTGCCTCCAAGACCCCACAGCTGCTTCTGTACCACAGTCCCCATAGCCACTGCAGACTTTCCTCCTGCACCCAAACTCCATTCCAGGTCTGCATTCCCCACAGATCCAACCCCAAGTTCCAACTCTGAGTCCCCTCTTACTCCAAACTGTTTACCCCCTACTGTACACCAGAGCCCTCACCCTCAGCTGGGGCCCTCAGTCCCAAACCTCTGTCCCAGCCCAATGAAAGTGAGTGAGAGGAGGGAGAATGAGCAGTAGAAGGAGGGCAAGGCTTCAGGGAAGGAGCGGTGCAGGGACAGGGCAGGATTGTTTGATTTTGTGCAATTAGAAAATTGGCAATCTTGGGAATGGGCATTGAGCTCTACCTATGGTGTCTATTCGATGGAAAGATATTTTTAAAAGTCTAAAATTAGCCTTCTCAGTATACATTTAGGGATCTAAATAAGTAGCCTGACAAGGGAATTGCTGGGTACTTCTGGAAAACAAGTCCATAAACGTAGACCCAATAGAGCACCTTTTCATTTATTTCTAATCTGTCCTTAATTCGTGCAAAAGGCTCTCTTCTTTCCTTGCTACTGCTTTTATAATGCAGTTGTAATTCACCTGAGGGTTACTGGTGCTCTGTCAAGTTTTAATTGTTTTAATTGCTTAATTATATGCTCTGGTGAAGTGGTTAAGCCCTGACATTTCACATTCTCTCCAGGAATACACACCTTAGTTTCTGAGATGTTTTTGTTCAAGAGGTTTTCAATATAAAGTAGAACTATTCAGTTTTGAATTTTTGCTGGTACTGTGAAAAGGCTAAAAGGGATCCGCTGAATGATATTTTTGCAGAATAATCCAATTAAAGTGGAAAGTCTGTTTACAGTGGGTTCCTGCCTAAAGGCAGGTAAAAAGCATGCCTCATCAAGCTAGTAAGCAACCTTGTAAACAGGCTATTAATTCTGTGTTCAGAGATCATGGCAGTAAGTGGAGGGTGACATTGCTAGAGAGCGAGCTATGGTGTATGGATTGCATGACTGCAGCAATGTTTTTTGGAAACTATTTGCATTTTTTTTAAAAAAATCCAGTAATAGAGTTTTCTTTCTACATATTTTCTCTGATGTTTATTACAGCAGATAGGGAAAATTAAGGACAAAGAATGAATTCTACTTGTTTCAATATGTTCTTGATGGCTAGATCAATACCTGTCTGGTTAACACTTCCTGTGCTAAACTTTAGTACATGAGAGACCTTGAGGGGTTTATGAGGAAAACCTGGAGTGAGACTGAAAATAACAAGAAAACCATCCTTTGCGGCAAATAATCACTTTCTTTTTCTTTTGTCGGACTCGAAAGGAAAATGAACAAATGTCGTCATGTTTGCTTAAATATTTGAAATAGAATTGGAGGACTCCCAGGAATTAACAGGGAGATAGTAAAATGGAAAACAGAAGAAATGGAGAGCAAGTAGAAAAAGCAATAAAAAAAAGATTATTACTTCAGTCAGCAGTACTAACTGTGCCTCTTAAAAAGCTGGAGAAGACATTCCAGTATCCTTAGTTTTACCGATACTACTATTCTGGTGGCAGTAGTAGTTATGACAATGGCATCTGCAATAATTGCAACCGTAATATATAATTTCTTTGCTTGCATTGGAGACAGCAATAAGAGAAATATTTTTCTTCATAATTCACACTCAACTGTTAGAATCTAGTGTGTAACATTCATGTATAGAATCATCGAAATGTAAGTCTAGAAGGGATCTTAGGAAGACATCTAATCCATCTGCTTGCACTGAGGTAGGATTAAGAATACCTATGTCACCTCAATTAGGAATTGGTAACCTGTTCTTAAAAACTTCCAATAATAGAGACTCCTCAAAATTTAACCTGTGTCATTGCTTACTTAGTCTTATAGTTCTTATGTTTTTCCAAATATCCAACCTAAATATCTCATACATAGCCAGTTATATATGTCCTATCTTTTCACAATATTCTCACTCAACTAGTAGCAGCAAGTAAACATTATTTTCTAAGATGCACACTGTGATAGATGGATGTTCATTTCCGCCACCACCACACACACACAAGCCCTGACTGGGTTAGTGTGGGCAAGCAGAGGCTAATCTGAAGGGGAAACAGGGATTGGTAAAGTCTAATTGCAGATGAAACCCAGATGAGCCAGTTTTATAAAGCCAGGAAGGAAAAGCAACAAAAGGCTGCAGAGAGGGCCTATTGACTTTCTCTAGAAGGAAAAAAGACCTAACTAAGCATAAGGTAAAAGTCAGTCCTGAGATTCTGTTAAGGCTAAGGTGGTCTAGAAAGACAACGAGGTGTGGGGGGAGGGAAGATGGTGAA